TAGAACAAAAGAGAGAAGGACAGACAAGCACAGAGAAAGTTAGAGCTTTTTTCTTGAGAGATAGAAGAGATAGTTAGAGAAAAGAATGAGAAATAGGAAAAAAAAATCATAGAGAATTCACATTCATCCTTTTGGACTTGAGAATTGAACACTTGGGCAATTTGGAAAACCTTAAATGCGGTGCTTATGTTAAACTAATATCGTTAAGTTGCAATTACTTAGTAAATTCTCTTTCTTAGATGCTAAGCAAGATTTGTTTGAGTTAAAATTGGCCACTTAAGCTAATGGAACAATTAGTGTCCCAAGCGAATGAAAGAAGGGCAGCATGCAGTGGGACGCACACTCTGTATTGCGTGTGGTTTCAATTTTGGGTAGCCTGACATTGGCTGGAGTGCGGCGTGGGTCTGTTCCCGCCTTTGCTAGCTGTATGATGGTTTTTTTTTCCAAGACAACTTGATTGAAAGCAGAGCTGGTTTTTTGAGCTGCAAGATGTTGATGTTGGTAGTTGAAAAGTGTATACACGTGGATGGTTTTGGCCCACGGGTTTGTTATAAAACCAGCAATGGTATATGTGTCGAGGAGTGATTTGAGATGGCGCCAGCCACCATTCAAATGGTGGTAGAGCTTTATTTTTTTGCTAACGTGGTTAATATTTTCTTTATTTGCCTATGTATCTTCCCCAAGTTTACATCTATTATTTTATAGTAGGGGTTACTGGGGGACTAAGAAAATGATATATGGGCAAATTTGTATTTTATTTTGCTATCTTGCTGGGTACCTTGTAGGAGGGTTGTTACAATGGGTTATTTTTATTTGTTTTAGTATACCCCCCCTCCCACCTTTGGGGGGGTGCGAGATTTTTTTGTATTACCTGGGGTATGCCCCTTGTAAATGTGTAATTTTTGTCTTTAATTTATGACTTACCCACCCAAAAAAAAAAAAAGGGTCCCAAGAGAATTAGTTTCCTAGAACAAAAGATAGAAGGATGGAGAAGCATAGAGAAAGTTGGAGAGAAACTATCATCTTGAGAGCTAGACAAGAAAGTTAAAGAAAAGAAAGAGAAATAGGAAGAAAATTAAAGGGAATTCAAATTCATCGTTTTAGACTTGAGTATTTAATGCTTATGTGATTTAGAAAACTTAAATGAGGTGTTTATTGTTAAACTAAGATCGTTATGCTACAATAACTCAGTAAATTCTCTTTCTGAGAGGCTAAGCAAGATTAGTTTGAGTTAAACTTGGCCACTTTAGCAAATGAAACAATTAGGGGCGCAAGCTAATTTGTTCCCAGAACAAAAGAGAGAAGGATGGAGAGGCATAGAGAAAGATAGAAACTTTCTACTTTGAGAGCCAGAAGAGAAAGTAAGAGAAAAGAAGAGGAATTGGAAAAAAGTCAAAGGGAATTCAAATTCATCCTTCTGGGCTTGAGAATTTAATACTTAAATGATTTAAGAAACCATAAATGTGGTGCTTATGTTAAACTGATATCGTTAAGCTACGAATATTCAGTAAATTCTATTGCTCAGTGGCTATGCTAGATTAGGTTGAGTTAAACTTGGCCAGTTATGCGAATGACACATTTACGGGACCCAGGCTAATTAGTTACTAGAACAGAATGGAGAAGCACATATAAAGAGAAATACGAAGAAAATTACGGGAAATTCAAATTCATCGCTTTGGACTTGAGAATTAAGGACTTAGGTGATTTTGAAAATCTCAGATGAGATGTTTAAATTGAACTAATATCTTTAAGCTACAGTTACTCCGTAAATTCATTTTGTTAGAGCCTAAACAAGATTAGCTTGATTTAAACCTGGCCACTTAAGCTAATGAAACAATTAGGGGCCCAAGCTAATTAGTTCCTAGAACGAAAGAGAGAAGGATGGAGAAGCACAGAGAAAGTTAGAGAGAAACTATCTTCTTGAGAGCTAGACAAGAAGTTAGAGAAAGGAAAGAGAAATAGGAAGAAAATCAAACGGAATTCAAATTCAACCTTTTGGACTAGAGAAATGAACACTTAGGAGATTTCGAAAACCTTAAATGAGGTGTTAAAGTTAAACTAATGTTGCTAAGTTGCAATTACTCAGTAAATTCTCTTTGTTAGAGGCTAAGAAGATTAGTTTGATTTAAACTTCGCCACTTGAACAAATGAAAACAATTAGGGGGCTAAGGCTAATTAGTTTCTAGAATGAAAAAGAGAGAAGGATGGAGAAGTGCCAAGAATTTAGAGAGAAACCTTTTTCTTGAGAGTTGGAAGAGACACTTAAAGAAAAGAAACAGAAACAGGAAGAAAATCAATGGGAATTCAAATTCATCCTTTTGGATTTAAGAATCGAACACTTAGGTGATTTAGAAAACCTTAAATGACAAGTCAAACTAATATCAATAATTACTCAGTAAATTCTCTATCTTTGAGGGTAAGCAAGATTAGTTTGACTTAAACTTGGCCACTTAGGCTAATGATACAATTAGGGTCCCAAGTTAATTAGTTCCTTGAACGAAAGAGAGAAGAATGGAGAAGCACAGAGAAAGTTAGAGAAAAACTTTTATCTTGAGAGCTAGAAAGTTAGAGAAAAGAAAGAGAAATAGGAAGAAAATCAAAGGGAATTCACATTCATCCTTTTGGAGTTGAGAATTGAACACTTAGGTGATTTCGAAAATCATAAATGAGGTGTTTAAGTTAAACTAATATCGTTCAGCTACAGTTACTCAGTAAATTCTTTTTCTCAGAGGCTAAGCAAGATTAGTTTGAGTTAAACTTGGCCACTTAAACTAATGGAACAATTAGGGGCCCAAGCTAATTAGTTCCTAGAACAAAAGAGAGAAGGATGGAGAAACACAAACAAAGTTAGAGAGAAACTTTTTTCTTTAGAGTCATAAGAGATAGTTAGAGAAAAGAAAGAGAAATAGGAAAAAAAAAATCATTTTCGATTTGAGAATTGAACACTTAGGTGATTTTGAAAATCATAAATGAGGTGTTTAAGTTAAACTAATATCGTTCAGCTACAATTACTCAATAACTTCTCTTTCTTAGAGGCTAAGCAAGATTTTTTTGGGTGGATAAGTCATAAAATAAAAGACAAAAAACTTACACCACTAGAAGGGGCATACCCCAGGCCCTAAACCAAGCATTATACAAGAAACAAAAATAAAACCATAAAACCTAGTCAATCCAGTATAATCTCTGATTAACAAAACATATCAACAAAGAGAACAAAATATTAATCTAAACAACCACAGAATAATAGCAAGTAACCAAAATGTGTTCATGGGCCGCATGCAGTTTTGATGAGGAGCACGAACACACCCAATAGCTAAGGAGCAAAAAGCAGAAATAAACACAAAACCATGAACTCCCGTGCAGATCCCACATGGTTAGGCCAATCTACCAAAACACCCTAAATAAAACAAGCATAAAAGAAAGTCATTCTTCACACAAGAGGCGCCTCTAGCAGTCATCAACACGAACACAGCCAGCTTCAAGCTTCGAATGAACCCGAACTGTAGACCAAACCAGGCAGCACCATCCAAGGAGATACTTTGCTGCCATCCCATGCATCCCGAACAGATTTTAGACATTATAATAAATCCTGTCATCCAGCAGATACCAAACAAGATTAAATGCTCCACAATCAAGTAGCAATCAAGAATAAATGACAGGTTACATTTTACACCACACATATAGATGCTCACTACACTCAACCCACAATTATATATGCTCACATCACTCGGAAACAAAGCTCTATATACCTACAAAAGAAAATACAGAGAATATATAAAAATATGTTAGATCCTCTCAGTTTGGCTAGTGATTGTGGGTTAAGTGATTGTTTATTCCTCACAGTATACTAAACCCTCAGAGTATAAGGCACACACTCAGAAATTTGCTTCCCAATGATCCAAGTACCTATATCAATAACAAACATTAGGAAACCCCACAGTATATATGCTAACCACCACTCAACCCTCAGTTTGTGAACTCCCATTCCTCACATCAGCTGCAGCAAGGTTCAACATAGTATGGGGTAATCTCCATGAGCTTAGATACCATCTGTCAGTATGGTGAGACTTCAAATTGGTAATATAAATGGGCCCAATTACAGTCTCCCAAATGAAGAGGCCCATATAACATGAAAAGGCCCGTAGTTAGCCAATGCTTTTTCATAGGCCCTTTTTTTTTGGGGTGAATACTTCATAGGCCCTTTAGACATAGGCCCATCAACACTATGAAAGAAGTGGACACTAGAATGGATCATATTCACGACGGCCCAATACAAATTTAAAGTAAATAAAATAATTTTAATGCGTATTGCAAATCAAGACAAATTATGATACAAAATAATTATTTTACACAATTTTTTTTTATCCAAAAAACCAAAACCAGAACGCACAGCAGGATCTTCTTCATTCACAGTTACGCAACGGATATCAGCGGCATAATGTGTGTCTACACATCGCTCCATTGTCTGCATGGATGGAGCCATTGCCTGGGTTTCTAATTCGGAAACCGCTTTCAGATCGGCGAATAGAGCATCTTCTTGCCGCTGTAAGGCGTTGATGAGTCGGATTAAATTTTCGGCGTTGTCTTCGCCGACAACAAATAAGGACCAGTGAAACAACAAAAGATTCGGCTCGTATTTTAAAATCAACCGCCTAAATTGACCTAGATCTCCGAGATCCGTTGCAAAATAATTCAAAATCTCCAATTATTTTGGACTAAATAGTTTCCTACTTGCACTTCCCTTTTTAAATCTTTTAATCCTGGTCGCAGATCTGGGAATGGTACGGAGCCCTATAGCCGACAATACGGCACCAAATGCGGAAGGGAGCACCAATCAGGGGACGACACGTGACGCGGGGGGGAGCATCCCAGTAATATTATAGGGACTCTCCTAGGAGCATATATAACTCACTCACTTACTCTCTTGTACCAGTAAAGTTTTTAGAGAGTGACTTGCGTCATCCGAGAGACTAAGTGACGTCATTGCGAGTGAGTGACTTATGGCCTCAATGCAACGTCGTTTTAGAGTTCAAAACAAGAACATCTTCCTCACATATCCCAGATGTTCTGTACCTAAAGAGAGATTGTTAGAGAAAATTAGAGAGTTGTTCACTAACAGGCCACCAAATTATGTGAGGGTTGCACATGAATTACACGAAGATGGTGAACCACATCTACATGCTCTTGTCCAATTTCCATACCGTTTTCAGACACAGGATGAACGGTTCTTCGACGTTACTGACGATCACACTAATCGCCATTTCCATCCAAATATACAAGGGGCCAATAACCATCAGGTTGTGCTGGAATACATCTCCAAATATGGAGACTACACGGAATGGGGTGAATTCTGTGAGAGGGGTCGCTGCGTTAACAGGGAAAACAAAGAAAATGTATATCACGAAGCTCTTGCAGCCGGAAGTAAACAAGAAGCACTGGTGGCACTGGTAAGAAATGGCGATCCAAAATGTTTCTGGTTAAATTATGACAAGTTGTCATCCAATTACGACAGGATTTCATTTACCCCACCATTGCCGTATGTTCATCAATTTACAGATACAGTATGGATCGTTCCAACGGCCATACAGCAATGGGTTGCAGAAAATATAAGCGACGAAACCCAAAGGCCACAGAGGCCCAAGAGAATTATAATTAAAGGCCCCATCTAGAATTGGAAAAACATGTTGGGCCCCGTCTTTGGGCCGCATAATTATTATTCCTTGGGCCTCTTCATGTTTTTGCCTCTCCAACTTTCTCTGTGCTTCTCCATCCTTCTATCTTTTGTTCTAGGAAACTAATTCACTTGGGACCCTTTTTTTTTTTTGGTGGGTAAGTCATAAATTAAAGACAAAAATTACACATTTACAAGGGGCATACCCCAGGTAACACAAAAAAATCTCGCACCCTTCAAAGGTGGGGGGGATACTAAAACAAATAAAAATAACCAATTATAACAACCCTTCTATCTGTGCTTCTCTCTTTCGTTCTAGGAACTAATTAGTCTGGGCCCCTAACTGTTCCATTATTTTAAATGGCCAAGTTTAACTCAAACAAATCTTGCTTAGCCTCTAAGAAAGAGAAATTATTGAGTAATTGTAGCTGAACAATATTAGTTTAACTTAAACACGTCATTTATGATTTTCGAAATCACCTAAGTGTTCAATTGCCAAATCGAAAATGGTTTTTTTTTTTCTTCCTATTTCTCTTTATTTTCTCTAACTATCTCTTGTGACTCTAAAGAAAAAAGTTTCTCTCTAACTTTGTCCGTGCTTCTCCATCCTTCTCTCTTTTGTTCTAGGAACTAATTAGCTTGGGCCCCTAATTGTTCCATTAGTTTAAGTGGCCAAGTATAACTCAAACTAATTTGGTTAGCCACTGAGAAAAAGAATTTACTGAGTAACTGCAGCTAAACGATATTAGTCTAACTTAAACACCTCATTTATGATTTTCGAAATCCCCTAAGCGTTCAATTCCCAACTCTAAAAGGATGAATGTGAATTCCCTTTGATTTTCTTCTTACTTCTCTTTTTTTTTTCTTGTCACGCCCCAAACCTGCCCCTAAAAGTTTGGGCATGACCTAATCAGAAATGGACATGTAACCTGGTAACATAACATACGAGGCCTTATCGGAAGCACGAAATATAAAAAAAAAATAATGATACAAATAAACTCCATTGAGCTACTTCTACATGCCAGGATCTCATACATCACATGCATCATAGTGGATAGGTAAAGTCCCAAATTATAACCCGGAGCATTGGTTATATACATACACATATACAGCCCCAGCCCTGTAATTGGGCATACACAAAACATGAAAATTACATACATCAACCTTAGATGGACACTTAAAAACAAGCCAACATCCTAACAGCTAAACAAAATAAATGGCCTTGTATAGTGCTTGGATACACGAAGGTTGACAAAAGAAAGCGGGCATCATGGCTAGGACTGACCACCTGATTGGGGACCTACAGAAACAGACGTAACAGAAAGTGAGCCGGGCTCAGTGAATAATAATACATAAATAAAACGATGCTTAACTTAAAACATAATACATATCAATGCATATAAAAATGCAGAGTTCACATAGTCAGTCTGATTCTGTGCTAAGTACATGACGACCTTAGGCTCAATCCTGCAATATAAACATAATGGCTATAAGCCCATGAAGCGTGGTGGCACGAGGCCCTTGAAACATATGGCACGAGGCCCTTGAAACATGGTGGCTATAAGCCCTTGAAACATGGTGGCATGAAGCCCTTGAAAGATTGGCATGAAGCCCTTGAAAAGTTTGGCACTAAGCCCTTGAAAGATTGGCATGAAGCCCTTGAAAAATTTGTATACCAATCAATCCATATCATGTCATAACATAGCATAAACAGAACGGATAAATAGAACCCAAGTCATATATATTCTTAATTATGCTTAATTCACGAACAGAAATTAGAGTTCATGCTTACTTATACATGGTACATCCAAGAGCACTAACAATTAATATAACATATTTGATCGTGTAACATACTTGACCTTGTAACATACTTAAACTTGTAACATACTTGAACTTGTAATATACGTGAACTTGTAACATGCGTGAACTTGTAACATGCGTGAACTACGGTATTATTACCCCCCCGGGTAAGGGCCTTGTGCTAAGGATGCCTTAAATACCTTTATAAGGATGCCTTGAATACCTTTACGTAAATGGACAATCATTCAGTGATTCAAAACATAACATGTTAGAGATTAGGGCATTTCTTGTCATATCATGTTATTATCGTACGCTTAACGAAGATAGAATAATTCACATTCTCATGAGGGTCACATAAAAATGTTAAACTTTTGCCCTTATGTCGTGGTTTCTGAATAACTTTCAATTCACACAAATACTCATAGCTTTCCAATTATTCTGATTCTTCGAAGGTGTCTACACTAGATAGCCTATAACTGTCTCATATTTATTTAAAATCCGTTCTTCAAGGATGAACAAAATTTCTCTTTATTCCTTAAGAAACGGCGTAGTTCATTTGGTCTATTAATCAGTAGCATATAGAAGCATACACCTTTGTTTGATTGTTCAACATAGTTGACTTGTAATTAAACCGTCTGTTACATCATTCACATGAGTTAACATAGTTAACTTAAGTCTAACAGGACATTCCTGATAATTATTAACAAAAGGTAAGCACATTATACAGATTGAATGATATCAGAGATACGTGAATACCATGGTTCCATAGTGCTTATATGTTCCCTTGGTTCGTCGTGAATCACTATAGCTATTTTGCAAACAACGTTAGTATTCTTTATCAACAATAATAAAATGTACTGCGCAATAATGCCCTTAGATTTTCCAATCAACATACTGTTAACATGCTTATAAGAATCATTAACGATAATTGAACGTACGACTACCGTACTACTACTCACAGTGGTAGGTCTCTGATAGCGGTGGAATGATGTCCTCGTCTTGACCTACAAACATAATGCACATAGCAGATTATGAGAATAAAACCAATCTCTTTTTATTCCTCACCCAATAGCTATGATGGTTCTAGACTCATTATTCCTCCATAGGTGAAGAAACGGTAGGAGAAAGGTTCAGGCGAAGAAACGGTACAAATTCAGTAAACAGAAAGTGAACAGTCGTCACTAATTTGGGCATAACTATTTTTGTACTTAGAATTTTGGAGTGAGACCACCACCATTGGAAACTAGACTTCCAGGGCTTGATTTTAGGCTCAAGAATCACTCAAAACGGAGTCCGAATGCAAAAGATATGCCTATTCAAAGTTACTCAGCATAAGCTGAAACAGGGGTGGCCGCTCGTACGCCCACTTTGGCCGCTCGTACGGCCCAATTCCGCTCGAGCGGAAGAACCCGGCCGCTCGAGCGCCCAAAAACAGAATGAAAACCCATTTTTTCCATCTTCTCCGCACGTGCGGCCATGGCCTCCGCACGTGCGGCCTGGGCCCTGTTTGGCAGTCCGAATTTCATACAAAACCCCATGTTTGGTGATCATCAACAAGGTCCAAAATAGATTCTTTAACTACTAAAAGATAGCTCAAAAATCATGTAAATAGGGGTACAAACACACAACCATTTGCACATGGATTTGATCTTCTTCACTCTCTCACCATCACAACCCATTTCTCTCACAAATACATACACAATTCATCTCTCAGATAATTGGATGCAAGCATGTAAAATCATAAAGAGTATGTAATTTCCCTCCTATGGTTCAAATTAACACAACTACAACATGATGATCATACTTCTTCAATTCCATAAGTGTCAAACACACACACACACCACAACACAACTCTTACCTTACTTGAACACCCAAGAAATTCATACCCCAATACAAGAAGAGGAGTTAATTAAAGTGAAATTTACATACCTTGTGCCTAGATCTCTCAAATTCCACACCTTCTTTGATGATCTACCTCCCTTTCCCTTCCTCACTTGCTCCCCTAAGCAAACCCTTATTTCTCTCCAAGAGGTGTTTCACACTTTTTGATCAAGGCTCAAGAGGACTTAGGTGTATATATTCATAAATAAAAGCATATAGGACAAAAGTCAATCGTTTAATCATTCCGAAATTGAAATTTCGTAAACATACTTAATATTACCTAAAAAATATGCTGATCACAGATATATAATCAATTTTAGATAATTAAGCCGTTAAGGCTTCCAATTTCTGATTCAACCATTCTAGATATAACAGATTCTTTTCTTGTTAAACAGATAGACATCCTTAAACATGGATTTCACTTACTTAACCTTAATTTCTCATGAGATTTTACAGTAAACATTTAAAAGCACAAAACGAGGACTGAAAATATATCAGAAAACATGCGCGAGGGTCGGGTTATTACACTCTCCCCCCCTTAAATAAGTTTGGTCCTCCAAACTTGTTGTACTATGCAGATCTGTTATAGAAGCTCATGTAATTCTTCAGTCCAAACAATTCACAGGTTAACTAGAGGTTCCTCACTATTAATGTAAAAAAAAAAAACCTCAGTCTTACCCGCTTATTCCATTCTGCTATAGATGTACAATTCATTTCTCCTTGCGAACCATACACAGGGGAATTCAATATTTATCACAGTTAGTCAAAAGTCCTTGTCATAATAAACATCTTATCGTTTTAATCAATTGGTTGTTGTGTAAAAAATAAAACATCCGTTCCCTATCTTTATTTCATACGATCCTATGTCGAATGAGACGAAACTACATGAATTCATTGCGGAATATTCCCAAACACAAAACATACAATCGGAAGTACAAAAATATAGTAGATTCCATTTCTCTAGGTACAGAGTTCATACATTTCACAGCATACGTTAATTTCAATCACAGTATGTTCTTTACTATGTTCGTACCCAGATTGACCCGACATTAATAGTTTATATACAAATCTCATTACTTAGTAATTCTCAATAGGAGTCACTTAGAGATAAGCTGATAACCCCAAACTGTACATTACTCCGACAAACATACTAAGTCGCGTAGGCATGTAGCCACCAGCTTTACAATTGTTCTTAGTATTCTCTATGTCTGAAAGCATATCAAAGTTATATCGTTACCTTGCTTCAAAACTATATCGAGTACTTTGACAAGGTCAGAAAAATGGGAAAAAGGATCCCAGTCAATATCGTTAATTCTT